TAAGCAAGTTTCCTTAGGATTTCTTTGATTTAAGTTAAAACTGCTTTCTTGAAATTACCAGCTGAACTTGCTATTGAAAGTAGATTATTTAAGAAATTGTGTGATCAATGCAAGTGTGGGGGGGGAGAATGGAAGACTACTGTAGACACCAGTGGTAGTGTAAGAAGAGGGTAGGAAAGGAGAGGATCAGAAATAGGAGTAAAAAAATTTATATATGCATATATTTATATATATAACTAGAAATGAAAAATTGTTGACAATAACATGCATGATTAAGCCACTATGCAGTATAATGCAATATATTCTAGATGGAAAACCACATTCTGTATGCTGTGACAATGCTTAGGGAATGAATGTAAATTAAATTTTAAAAAGTTTCAGAAAAAAAATAAAACTGTTTTTCTTTGAATTAAAAAAAAAGCATTAAAGGGAACCAGCAGTTAGCGTAATGGCTATGTCGCTGGACTCCTACGTAGTCGACCGTGGTTCGCGTCCTGGACCCAGTGGCTTAAAACTCACGCCGGGCACGTGTGCGTGCGTGCCCAAGATCCTGAGAGGAGAACGGAGGAGAAGGGATTGTGTGTGACCATCTCCCCTGGGGGGGTGATTTCTCGCTTTCTGTCTCTATGTCTCTCTCTGTCTGTCTGGCAAGCGCACGCGCCCTATAGTGAAAACCTTTCCAAAAAAAAAAAAAAGAAAGAAAGAAAAAGCATTAAAAATACCTATTTGATGACTGCAGTAAGCTATACAGCCTTAGCTAGGTGCTACTTTATAGTATGTTCATTCTACTCACTGAGGTTTATGCCTAAAGTCAGACTTGTGTTCATGGATATGTATATATCAGCTGTGCTTGCAATAGAAAACATTTAGATTAATTAAGATATTTAGTAAAACAATAAAATGTCTGTGTGGGGGGGTGGGGATGAAGGCATAGAAAGCAACAATAGATACCAGACACAGAGTGGGAGGAGAGTGGGAGATGGCAGAGGGTGAAATATAGGGAATCAAGGATGAAAAAAAAAGGCAAGATATACAGGAAACAAGAAATGGAAAATTACTTTTTGACAATAACACATATGTTGATGTACTTGATTGAACCAATATATAGTGTATTCTGGATGGAAAATTCTCATTTTGTATGCTATAATGATGTACAGTGAATGAATGTAAATAAATAAAGAAAAAAAGAAAGAAATGAAATTCATGCAAAATTTTTTTCATAATACATATTTTTATAAACTTTTTGAAAATTCCTTATCCCTTGTATTCAGAGTCACTTGGTCGATTCACATTCCAAGACATGGCAGAAAGAAAACAAAGAAACTGAAACTAGACTACATTTTAACTGGAAGGAAATAAGGCAGCTAAATTCTTTATCCAAAAAAACCTATAAATCAGCCTGACTATCATGATTTATAAGAAAGCTTTCTGTTTTGCCTTTGCTTCTCAATGCAATTTTTTACTAATTATTTCATTTGAATCTCAAAACTGTGGGGAAATAAGGTATGTATTACCCTTCTTCCTATTTATAAATGTGGAAACAGGATAGCTAATCCCCTCAAAGTTATAACCAGCTAGTAGAAGGGAGATTAGAATATAAATCCAGTGTTCTAGACAACTTTGGAATAGGAAAGCTATGAAGACACTTAAAAAGTGATTAGTTTATATGAAGATATGAATTCTAATTATAATGACTTGCTAGCATATCAGGGGTTCCAACCTATGTTAAATTCTGATATGAAATTCTATATCATAATGCAATGTTCAATGTCAAATAAGATGAATATGTCTAGATACTTGATTTGATTATTACACTGTGTGCATGCTTTTAAAAAAACATATTGTGAGACCTACAGATGTCATAATGATTATATCATTGGACTCCCGCTTAGTTCAAGTCCTAGACCTGGCAGCTTAAAACTCATGCCAGGCCTGTGTGCATGCATGCCCAAAATCCTGAGAGGAGAATGGAGGAGAAGGATGCACAATGCCATATGTGCATCCCCCCTGGGAGATGGTATCTCATTTTCTGTCTCTCTGTCTCTTTCTGGTAAGCACACACACCCTATAGCAAAAATATCTTTTTTAAAAAGTAGTGCAAGCCACAAAGATGTACAACAATGATATGTACACCAGAAGTGTATATAATAAGTGTACATATTTGTGGAGTACAATGTGATTTTACCATACAGGAATAGAATGTGTCATGATTCATTGGGGGTAAATAGTATACTCATCATCTCAATCATTTGTAATTACTTAAGTTGGAAATAATAAAAAAAAAATCCTCCCTTTTACTTACATTAAGATACTCAGTGGGACCAGCAAGTGGTGGTTAAGGGGCTGGACACTCCCACATGGCCAACTGGGATTCGAGTCCCGGACCTGGTGGCTTGGTTTCTCACTTTTTCTCTCTTTCTTTCTTTCTCTCTCTCTCTCTCTCTCTCTCTCTGTTCAAATTAAAATAAATGAATGAATAAATTTTAAAACTTTTTAAAATACTCAGCAAGTTGTTACCCTCTTTATTTTCCGCACTGTATTTTTATAACATTAGACATTGTTCTTCCTACCTGTCTACAATTTTATTTCCAGCAACCAATATCCTTCTTTTTTTTAAAGAGATATTGTAATTTTCATTTTCACATTAAACATACTTGATGAAAAGTGTAAGACATTACTTCCACATGAGATAAAAGAATGGAACACAAAACAAAAGGGGTGCCTTTATATCAGCACATGATCTGATTAAGGCATTTTAACTATTTCACAGTTCCACTAAGCACAAGAATAAACTGGTTTCAAGATACTTGCAGCATTTGACATTTTTACTGCAAGCTTTAAATCATACTGTTACTCTTCTCAACAAGTCATCTCTAAGAAAGTAGCAATGTTCCTAAGTAGAAAAACTATTATCTCTAGTAGGTGGTATTGTACATAGTAAAAGGAATTCTTTATAATATTAGGTTTAGAAGGGATCACCAATTAGCGTAATGGCTATGTCGCTGGACTCCCATGTAGTCGACCGTGGTTCAAGTCCTGGATCCGGTGGCTTAAACTCACGCTGGGAGCATGTGCGTGCATGCCCAAGATCCCGAGAGGAGAATGGAGGAGAAGGGATTGTGGCGTGGCCATCCCCCTGGA